CCTGATTTTTCCTGCGCTTCCACCCAGGACGAAGACTTCGATGTGTTCGAAGCTCAAGGACACAACAGTGGCGATCAGGAGCGGCGGTACTAGTCGAAGAAGTAGCGGAGCGAACGAAGTCCTGGGGATCCAATTCGAAGGGGAGACTGCAGAGAGCGGTCAAAACAAATGAAGGGCTCGGAGAAATTGCTGATCTTGCTCCATGAATTGCGAGAAGAACGAAGAGAGAAGGAGCTTTTCAAGCACATCACAGGTACGAAGCGGTAGCTCAGTCAAGATCCCGAACGTGATGCCTGCTCACAGCCATAGGATCGAAAAATCCTACTTCGACCCCGAAGCGGACATGTGCTTCAGTAAATGGTATGCGCGCTATAAGGACGTCTTCGTCGAAGATGCAAAGCAACTCGCAGAAAGTGCCAGTGTGAGCTACTTTGGAGAAAATGGACAAGGATAGTTTCGAAAAATACCATAGGCATGTGTTATCGAAGGAGGTAACATCGATTGAATTCGAAGAAACTGTCGAAACGTTGAGTTGTTCAACGTGAAGATTTCGGAATTCACTATGCGATACCAGTGTTTGGGAATGGAGAAGGCGAATTCCGAAGATTGTGTACTTTTGTGGATTTTTGGCCGAAAGAGCCCAAAAGAAGCCGAAATTGGGCAGCGACTCATAGCCGTACTGGACAAGGAGTACAAGGCAGGACGAAAAATGTCGCTACAAGTTGTACCTAGAATGCGAAAACTTCCTGAGTTTCAAGAATTATAGCGAAACTGTAACTGGTTGTGCGAAAATTGTCAAAGCAACAAGCAAGGAGAAACCCAATAAGCCGGAATGCTGGACTTGGGTAAAGCTCACTTCGCCAGGGAAGGCAAATCGAAGCTGTGGTTTTGCAAGAAGTGCAAGAAGACAGGTCACAAGGAGAAGTTTTGCGAATAAGTGGCGGAGAGAAGGGCACTTGTGCAGCAAGATGCAAAGAGAAGAATTCATAGAAGCAGCGATAACAGTAGAACAGGAGTTGGACGAAACCAAAACGACATGTGCGTAGTGTTGCGAAGGTTGCGAACAGATGATGGAAGTTAACTCGACTCGCATGTATTAGGTTGTTGCATAAGCTGTCCGAATTTTTGCCTTATGTTTGAAGCAGCTGTTCTAAGTAAATTTCATCTCTAATGCGGTATTGTTAGCATCATTAAAAAGTGCTTTTCTTGCGCTTTCCAAGGCATATCAAATTTCAATAAAATTCTTAGTGAAAGAGATTCCAGGCCTAAAATCTCCAAGGTCGAGATACGTTCCCACCCTAGAAATATATTCTTGCGAGGAAATCTCCATAATGCGTCCTTCAGGTCAAGTTTTTAAATGGTTGCAGAATAAGGGTGTAATAGGCTAGCTTAAGTAAGTTTAGTTTCACGAAGAAGTCTTGCTACTAAATTTATTGTCAAACATTAATATTCTGTATAGATGTTTTACAAGCAATAACTTTCTGGGAATAGAATTAATCGATAAGCTCAAAGTTGGAGGTGCTAGGGCAAAGCAAGAGCTAGCAGGGCCCATCCACCATTTACTTTTCGGCGCTCAGTCAGTTGTAAAATTTTCATAATTCGGAAATAGGCATGCACACATGCGCTGAAGCGAGGTCAAAAAGTGGCTAGATTTTCGTTCGGTTAAAGAAGTCTCTCTGCAACGCAGACCCTACGGGCTCTTTTATGGTGCAAAATAATCTACGAAAAATTCTCTATCTATCCGTAGTTAGACAAGATGCCTATGAGTTCTCATAAGGGAGCATTGCCATGTCAAAAAAGACAGGTCTGAAGAAAAACGCTGTGAAGCTTTTGAGTTCTTGCTTCTCCCTTCATATGGATTTTCGCAGGTTTCAAAATGTATCTGATAGTCAAGAAATTGCTCAACACGACGAAACTAGGATCTAAGAAAAAAGTTGACATTGAAAGAAGTTATGACATTTTGAACTCAAAAACAAATCGGACAGAACGTGCGCACCCAATAAGTTGATGCAAAAGTGAATAGCCACCCACTTAGTTTCCTGTTGGATACAGGATCAGACATCACGCTGCTGAATGAATCAATTTGGAAGAGCATGGGTGCTCCTCGACTGAAGCAGACAAGCGTGGTTGTCAAGAACGCTAGTGGAGGTTCGATGAAAGTCCATGAAAAGCTGTGGTGCGACTACGAGGTCAAAGGATCCAAAAGTGAAGGCTACGCATCCGTGGCGCCCCACAACTCACGGCTAGGATTGGAGTGGATCCAGAAGAACGAAGATATGTCCTATCACATGAGCAGAATGGTTGCGGGAGTGAAGCTGCAACAAAATGGTGCTATCCCTGAGAAGCTGAAAGAAGCTTACCCGGAGATCTGCAAAGGTTTGGGATTGCGCATGAAGGAAAAGACACAAATGTTGGTAAATGGAATTGCTCGTCTAGTATTCAAAGCTTGTAGGCCTGTTCCACATGCTGCATTCGAAGTTGTCGAAAGGGAACAGAACAGGTTACTAGAATTGAAGGTTATAAGTCCATTGACACACGGTGACAGCTCCTATCGTATGCGTCAGGAAGGCGAATGAATTGCGAGTGTGCGCTGATTTCTTAATTGGACTCAACAAAGCGTTGGAGTCGTACGATTATCCGTTACCATTGCCGGAGGATGTATTCGCATCGCTCAATAGACGTACAATATTTTGCAGATAGACTTGTCGGACGCCTATCCGAAAGTCGAGTTATCAGAGGAAGTTATCAGGAGCATCTGTGTCATCCGAGAAGAGTTACGCTCCAGTTTCTGCTGCACTGCGTTCAAATAAGAAATATGTCAGGCATTGTTACTTTTTACCGTACAGGGGCGCACAGATCGCGCTCTCATACGTATGTCAGTAATTCACTGTGAGCAAGTCTGTGCCGTGTAAGGCTAAACATTTTCGTTTCACCTGTTACGCATTTGCTTGTGGCTAAATCTCGCCAAAATACGCGCTTTTCAGTTCGGATATAGGAAGCGCGAATTTGTTAACTCTCTTTATTCGGCTTTTTCCGGCTGCAAAGTGATCTTTTCTCTATCTATCCATTGTTAGATAAGATGCCTATCAACTCCTATAAGAAAGCATTACCATATCAACAATTTTGAAGAAAAACGCTATGAAGATTTTGAGTTCTTGTTTCTTCCTTAACAAGAATTTTCGCAGATTTTAATATGTGTCTGATAGCCAAGAACTGCTCAACATACAGAAACTAGTTTGGAAAAAAAGTTGACTTTCAAAGAAGTTATGACATTTTGAACTTAAAAAATTTAAATCGGACAGAATTTATGCAGCAGCCTAATATATATGGTCAGCTAGCGATATTCTACGCTCCACCGCAGAAAAGTTGAAAAAAAATGTTTTTAAATACATTATCGAAAATTATGCATATCCAGTAAACTTCTTGAAATTATTCTTAAAGTTCTTCGTCAGAGCTGATCTTTACTTCATCCAATGGTTTTCTGCTGCTTGTAAAAGGCGGTCCTCACCTTACTTTATTCTTAGCTTACGCCTTAAAGTGGGCGGCATATTCGCATATGCGGAGTAGCAACTGTGCTAAAACGGATATGTACGAATTTAAATCCATCCGAGTAGGAAGACACATCACCTCAGACGTTATCTTCTCACCTTTGGCCTAAATATCAAGTATCTCTCACAATGAAAGTGCATGATACCGACTTTTGAGCTGCTCAGCAGACAACATAGAATCTTGCAGTGGTGTACCCAGGATTTCCGTTCAGGGGAGGGAAGAGGGGACACGACAAAAAATTTTGAACTTCCCAAATTTTGTGGGCCCCTGACCCCGAAGTTTCAGAAAAAGAACTCGTGGCGGCCACGACCTTCAAAAAAATTTTCTTACTAATTACTAGGCTAATTTGAATTTTCAATAATTTTCAAAGATTATTGTAATTTTACAAGTGAAAACAAGTTGCTTACATTTTTATAACACATTTAAGTAACTTTCAAAAATTTCGCCATTCTGGGAGGTGGGGGGGGGGGGGAGAGAGGAGACACCCCAAGAGTCTGGCTGATATGAGCAGTCGAGTCTTAAGTACTGTCAAGTCAGTTGCTCTCTTCATTTGGTCACAAGTACTTCCATCTTACTTATAATCAGGGGCAAGGTTCACGATATTCTATGTGTTCGTGTTCGTCCGTTACGAAATCCATAGAGCGAGTTCATAGCTCTAACCAAAGTTATGAGACCTTTTGCATAACATATGCTCCTAACTGCTGGTTCATTATGCAAAGTTTCTAGCGGATCCGATACGTGGATCCTGCAGAAGTTCCGCATAAGACCAATGCATATTTTTTTATGCTCGTAAAAATTGACCTAACCTTTGATTTAACTGGCTGGCGGCTGGAAGGCGGGCTTTGTGACCTAATTAAGGACCCTCGCGCTCGCTACGCAGTCTGCATCCTCTCTTGCGCGTGCTTTCTGTCATAATCTAGCTTTAATTACGAAACCAAGCCCCGCCTTCCAACCGCCAAGCCAGTTGGACCAAAGAGTACTTGGAATTCTTTGCGAGTTTCAGTTCATGTTTCTGTTAAACGGAATGCTACCTTGAAAAGTATCGTTGTCTTTAAACTTATCACAAAAACGCCTTGTCATGATGCAATCAGACGTTAGTGAGCAAATGGGCAAATGCTGGCATCAGACGCTTTTGTATATATTATTAAGCAATATTGTTGTATTTTACAAACATGTTCATATGCCCTTTATGATAATTATCATACTTTCTTATATATAAAGTATGAGTATGTGAAGATCACCGAAGCATGTGTTTTTCTTGACAGAAGGTTGACAAGGATAGCAGCTGCCTCAGCCCATGCTCAAATGTTTCATTGTAGCATGCAGTCATAGAAGAACACGATCGAACAGAAATTTTACCATTCACATCATTCTTCGAGCATGTCTTCTTACCCTACCCATATACCCGACGGCATTCCCAAAAGAGGCTCTTCTCCCAGGCGCACCTCTAATCATCCACGGACTTCCTCTAAAACTATACCTTGTATTTTTGATGGGACTACTCCAAGCGGTGTTTCTGGGACTCCTGGGAATGATTTTTGGGATATTTCTCCCAAAATGGTTACTCGTACTCACCCTTAAAGGATTTCTCCCAGCAAAAATATTGGTATTCTTGGTCCGAGGAAAACCATTCCTGGCGGCATTCATCAGATTCATCCGCCTGACAGTTCTTCCGTAGGTAGGCCTCCTATTCATCCCATAAGCATAGGTCCGTGAAACAATCCTCCTACCAGCACTTCCGTTACCCATCCACTTATTAATTTTCCGGTGAGTAGGCCTCCTATTCATCCCATAAGCATTGGTCTGTGGGGGAATCCTCCTTCCAGCATTTCTGTTACCCATCCACTGATTAATTTTCCCGTGAGTAGGCCTCCTATTCATCCCAGCATTGTTCTGTGGGGAAATCCTCCTACCAGCATTTCTGTTACCCATCCGCTGATTAATTTTCCCGTGAGTAGGCCTCCTGTTCATCCCATAAGCATAGGTCCGTGAAACAATCCTCCTACCAGCACTTCCGTTACCCATCCACTTATTAATTTTCCGGTGAGTAGGCCTCCTATTCATCCCATAAGCATTGGTCCGTGGAAAATTCCTCTTACCAGCATTCCTGTTACCCATCCGCGGATTACTTTCCCCGTAAGTAGACCTTGTAATGGGGCTCGCATCTGAGCGACGCCTCCCAGAAGCTCTTCTTCCCCGAGCACCCCCGGGGCCCCGATTGCTATTCTTTTTATTGCTACTCCTTTCTGGGCGATGCTTTGTACTCGTTTTGAGAATATTTCCTCTCCAAACTCGAGGAAGATTGCTCTTTCCATTGCTAGTCTTTCCTGAGCGGCGATTTATACTCTTTCCAAAGAAATTTGTTCCCCAACCATTCTGAGGATTTGAGCTATTTTTTTTCGTGGGCTTTCTGTTAGTCCTCTTCTTGATTTCATTTCTTTTATTGTCATTATACGGACTAAAACCTCTATTGGAGAACTTTTTTGTAGCTCTGCTATTGCTGCCTCCTCTTGGTGGCATTCTCCCACGTTGGGTTTGTCCTAATGGTAGTTTGCTATATGATTGCTTTCTTTTCGATAGCATGTATCCTCTTTGTGAAAAGTTTCGTATCGATTCCACTCTTCGTGATGGTTTCCTTCCACCCAAAGTCCTCCTGCCAGCATTTCCCATTCTCTTCTCACTATCATAATCTGTTGCGGGAATCTTTTCGATGACCTTTCGCCTTCCGCGCCCCCTTATAATCCTCTTTCTAGAATCTTCCCCCATGCCGGCCTTTTCTCTTGGTGTAACCCTTCGTGGTGGCTCTCCACCTAACGGTCCTCCTCCTGATGGCATTCCTCCTAATGATGCACCATTTCCTGTTCTTCTCCCTAATGGAGCTGCTTTTGGTGGTTTGCGCTGCCTTTTTCCTGATGGTCGTTCCCGTGAACTTATCGTTGGTGAACGTTTCCTTGGCGACAATGCCCTCGTTTGCTTCACTGATGGACTGTTTCCTTCTGGTAACATTTTCTTTGGTGGCATCCTTGATTGGTTCCCTCGAAACTTTTTCGGAAATTCTGAGTTGCGTTTCCGTTGCATTTCCTTCGTTAACCTTTTCTCTGGTGATATTTTCCTCGATGACTTTCCTGGTGGCAATTCCTTTCCTAGTCTTTCTGTTCGATGTTGGTTTCGTATCCATGACAATTTGTTTTCTGGACCTTCTTTCTTTTGTCGATTTTTTTTCAGTGATCTTACCTTTCTTGATAGAGACTTTTTTTTTGGTCTTCTTTCTGGTGAAACTGATGATATTCGTTCCGGCGGTTTCTTCTTTGATGAACTTTGGTCTCGTGGCGTTTCCTTAGAGAGCCTCCCTAAAGACTTTCTTTCTCGTAACCCTCTTTTTGATGGAGCTGCTAGTATCGGCTTCCTTAAGCTTTTCCTTGCTGGACCTCCTTGTGGTGAAGTTCCTTTCAAAGTTTTGCGGTTGTTGTTTTTTTCTGTCTTCCCGATGGCGTCTTTTTCGGTAATTTTGCTTCTAGTAGGCGACGCGTTTTCTGATAACATTCCTTTCAATGGCTTCCGTGATTTGATTTCCACTCGTTCAGTCTTCTCTGATGAAATTCTGTTCAATGGCTTCCGTGATTTGATTTCCGCTCGTTCAGTCTTCTCTGATAACATTCTGTTCAATGGCTTGCGTGATGTGACGTCCTTCTTCCTTCCACTTGTCTTTTCGTTAGCCTCTTCTTCGTTGAAATTCCTCTTGACGGCACTTTTTGTCTGTAAATTTTCTTTTGGCGTCTTTTTCAATGGCTTTCCTATGCTCGTGTTCTTCTCGAAAGGACTACTCTTGGTTAGGCTTTCCCTGGCGCCCCTCTTCTCGGTAGTTTTTCTCTTGGTGGCCTTCAAATTAGCAACATTTGTCTTGGTGAACTTTTCTTTCTGTGGTGTGTTTCCTGATGGCATTCTTTTTTCTCTTGGCAATATTTCTCTTAATGCTCCTCCTACTAACCTATCTCTTTTTGACCTTTCTCTTGGTTGCTCTCCTGCTGGTGTGGCTCCTTCCTGAGGCTCTCTTCCCGCTAACCCTCCTGGCAGCCCTCTTTTCGGTGCCCCTCCTGCCTCTGCTCCCGGTGGCTTTCCGCGTAGTTGACCTCCACCTGACGGCTCTCCTCCCGGTGGCTCTCTTCGTGGTTGCCCTCCACCTGATGGCTCTCCTCCCGGTAAAGTTCCTCCTGGCAGCCCTCTTTCCAGTGCCCCTCCTCCCGGTGGCTCTTCTCGTAGTTGCCCTCCACCTGATGGATCTCCTCCCGGTAACATCCCTCCTGCCAGCCCTCTTTCCAGTGCCCCTCCTCCTGGTGGCTTTCCCCGCAGTTGCACTCCACCTAATGGCTCTCCTCCAGGTGGCATCCCTCCTGGCAGCCCTCTTTCCGGTGCCCCTCCTCTCGGCGACTCTCCTCGCAGTTGCACTCCACCTAATGGCTCTCCTCCCGGTGGCATCCCTCCTGGCAGCCCTCTTTCCGGTGCTCCTCCACCCAATGGCTCTCCTAGTTGCCCTCCACCTGATGGAGCTCCTCTTGGGTATCCTCCTACTGGTAACCCACCATGTGTCCCACCACAACCACATGGAGTTCCTCCTAATGCCATTCCTCCTGGTTGCTCTCCCCCCACTGGCCCTCCTCCTGCCATTCCTCCTGGCTGCTCTCCTTGTGAAGGCCCTGCTCCTGATGGCCCTCCTCCTGGTGGTCCTTCACCTGATAGCCCTAATCCGTTCAGCAATCCTCCTAGTAGCCCTCCCCCTGGTAGCCCTCCCCCATTCAGCAATCCTTCTAGTAGCCCTCGTCCTGGTAGTTCTCCTCCTGACGGTCCTTCACCTGGCGGTTCTTGTCCTTGTGGCCCTCCTGGTGTTTCGTCTTCCACTGGCATTTCTCCTGATGGTCCTTCCCCTGGTGGTTCATGTTCTGATGGCTCTCCACCTCGGGGTTCTTCTTCCGCTGGCATTTCTCCTTGTGGTCCTCTTCCTGGTGGTTCTCCTTCCTGTGGCATTTCTTCTGATGGTCCTTCTCCTTCTCGTTCTTCTTCCACTGGCAATTCTCCTTGTGTTCGTCCTCTTGGAGGTCTTTGTGGCGCTCCTCCTGTTGCTTCTCCTGGCGCTCCTCCTTCATCATTTGTTCTCGTTGATTTCCTCGCTTTTATCCTGATGCCGATTTTTCTTCTTTCTTTTCTAATAGCAGGGTTCCTTCTTCTTGCAATTCTTCCGGTTTCTTTCCTTCTTCTTTCGTTTCTGTAAGCGGCTTTTCTTTCTCTTTCTTTTCTCTTAATCTCCCTTTTTCTTCTTCTATTTCTTGTGGTGGTCTTCTCTCTTTTTTCCGTTTCTCCTAATGGCTTTCCTTCGTCTTTCATTTCTTCTAATGGTTCTTCCTCTACTTTGATTTCTCCTGATGGCACTTCAGATGTTATATCCCTTGGTGGCGTTACTTGTAAAGATGGCGTTTCATGCACTAAACCTTTGAATGAGTGTCTTTGCAGAGCTCGTTCAAATCCAACTGCGGACAATTTGATCGGGTCTAAATTTGTGGTAGTATGCAAAACAGCAATCGAAAGACTTTATAGAAGAGTAACAGACACTCAGGTAGAAGAATGGCTGGAGCCACTAGTGGTATCATTGAGTGCCATGCTGTTGTGCAGAAGAGATAGATTAGCAGCGCAAATACGAGCATATCTACCCTGAAATATTGGTACAATGATGTGAGAATGTAGAAAAGACGCAAAAATATTTCAAAACTGTAATCAAAGGACTCTTATTTTGATTCCGTATGCATCAAATTGAAAGAACACATGTTTTCAGCATTTTCAAGGAGAAGTTAGTGCATTTCCCCCGCAATAGTCGGTCGCCTCATCGTGGCGTGGGGGTGACACTGGAAGTCGAACTGCGATGCACAGCCGAGTGTATACTCTGGTAGGGCTCCCAAGCTGTGAAGGAGTTCGACGTTTCCGGTTTCGGCCGGATGCCTAGCCAAGAACTGGCCACGCCAGATCCTCCACCGTCTGGCTTCTTCTGGTCGCTAGGCGGTACCTCCCCGTACCAAGCCCGGGGTCAGCGATCGCCCCGTGGAAATTAAGAGTAGGCCTAGTAAGCCACCTCTTGTAGGGGAAAATTCATATTACTCCTCCAGTTAGAAGATTAGAAAGAAACCCTGCACATCGTATCCCGCCTACGGCGCCGGGTGGTAGCAAGAACGATGTCAGGGTACTCAGGGCGCCTTTCGGATTGGACAAAAACGACACGTCTGCCCGGACGACACGCCATGGAGACTGCCTCATGTTCTGCACCTACAACGCCAGGACAGTCTCCACAAACGCCGACCTCCACGCTCTTCTCGACGCTGCAGAGCACATCAACTACCACATCATCGCTCTGCAGGAAACGAAGTCCAGGAAGAAGGACGTGCGACAGATGAGTGATGGGACCCTCATAATTCGTGGTGAAAAGGTTTCATCACGAAACGTGGGAGGCGTCGGCTTTGTCGTCCATCCATCTATCGTCCATCTTGTCGATTCGCACGAGATCCTATCACCTCGACTAGGCATCCTATGACTACGCCCTCCACGTCAGAAGACCATCAGTATCATCAACTGCTACTCGCCAACATCAGCAGCTGACGACTCAGAACTAGATGCTTTCTACGAAGACGTGGAGGAGGTCGTCCGCAATGAAAAGTCCTTCTACAAGTATGTTGTGGGCGACTTCAATGCGAAAATCGGGATGCCACTAGAAAAGGAATATAGGATCGGGAAGTTTGGATATGGGCTCCGAAACGAAAACGGCAACCGTCTCGTTGGGCTCCTCTCCGCCGCACGACTCTTCCATGGAAACTCCATCTTCATGAAGAAAGAATATCGCCGGTGGACTTGGGAATCGCCCAACGGAACGACTCATGCTGAGATCGACCACATTCCCACCAACCGAAGGTGGAGCTTACTCGATGTCTCTGTAGTTCCATCCTTCTGTAGTAGCTCCGATCACCGCCTCCTTCGAGCGAAGATACGACTCAGCCGAAGGCTGGAAAAGAAAGTCTGTCATAGTGCCGCGAGAAGGAAGGAAGTCGTTTATGGCGGTAACAGGCTGGAAGAACTCATATCAAGTTGTGACTGGCCCATCGAGGAGGACCCAACGTACGACTACGACCGACTTTTGAAAGGATTGCGAGCCTGCGGAGAATGCGCCTCAGTGACTTCTGAGAAGAACTTGGACCGCATCTCGAATACCACCAAGGAATTGCTCGAAAGAAGAAGATCATTGAGGCAGGATCCGAATGCAACTCATCTCGAGCGACTGATAGCCAACACCAGTTGCAGAACAGCTTTGCAAGAGGATCTCAGGAAGTACAGGCAAGCAAGATACTGGAAGCAGCCGAAAGAAGACGAAGTCTCAAGAAGTGCCGAAGGGACCTCTGCGAATATCACGTACCGCTGGCTGCACTACTGAACGAAGACGGGACTCCGACTTCTTCCCGATACAAGATGGAATCTATCGCGAAGAATTTCTACACCAACCTCTTCCGCTCATCAACACCCGTGCCGATGCCCGTTTTCCCACTGGAGAAGTACCACCACGAATTCTACCTGCTGAAGTGCGCACGGCGATTCAGACCGTGAAGACATCAACGGCTCCAGAACCACACCATCTTTCCGTCGAACTTCTGCGAGCCGGAGGACACCGTCTACACGAGATTCTAGCGTCGCATTTGACATCTTACCTTCAGAAGGAGAAGATTCCTGACCAGTGGAGAACGTCAATAACCGTCCTTCTCTTCAAGAAGGGTGAACGGGAGGATCTTCGGAACTATCGTCCAATATGCTTGCTGAGTGTGCTGTACAAGCTTTTCACGAAGATTATCCTCGCTCGCATATCAAGGACACTAGATGAAGCCCAACCCCAAGAACAAGCTGGATTTCGCAAAGGATTCAGCTGCATGGACCACATCCAGACCGTTTCGAGGGTCATAGAAGTCTGCCGGGAGTACCGACTGCCTCTCGTCCTAACCTTTGTCGACTACGAGAAAGCCTTTGACAGCGTCGAAACCAAGGCCATCCTGTCTGCGCTAGTCGATCAAGGAGTGGACCCAGCTTACGTGAGGACGTTAGCCGACTGCTACAAGGACTGTACAACGACGATGCAGCTATTCCATCGCCCCCTGACCATACCAATCGGGAAGGGGGTCCGACAACTCAGATAATCGCCGGGGGCAGGCGGTCCGCAAACTCGCGCTTTTCTGCAGGCGGTCAGCAGAATTTTGGGGCGTGGCCAAACCTTCAGCGGGCGGTACTTCCGCGTTCTGCCAGCGGGCAGCAATACAGAATTTTCTGCGAGCGCTCGTCAAATAATATCTTCCAGCGAGCGCTGGCCAAACCTTCAGCAAGCGCTCGGACTCTTTTTAGGTATTTTCGGGCGTACATCGAGCGCAGGTAAGACTCTGTGTGGCAGAGGTGTCACCGTTGGTTTAATTACTCAAGTTTGAGGTACTTTCTCCCAGCGGAAAGTACCTGGGGGTTGCCGGTCCTCCACAAAGGAACGTGCGGCCCTCGAAATTTTTGCATATTCTCGCGGAAAGTCCGCGAGAATGCGGCCACTGCGCCGCAGTTAATCTATCAGGAAACCGCGATTGTTCTCCAAGCATTCGTCTTTAATTTTGCCAACTTTCTTCCAAATTTCTGCAAGCGGGCCGCAAAAAATCAACGAACTATTTTTCCGGTGCGCGCTTGCTCAAAATTCGCATGGCCGCCTGCCCCCGGCGGTTATCTGAGAAGGCGACACAATCTCGCCGAAGCTGTTCACCGCGGCCTTGCAGTGGGTGATGAAGTCACTGGACTGGGACGAGAGAGGCATACGAGTTGATGGGAGATTCCTATCCAACCTTCGTTTTGCGAATGACATCGTCCTTTTCTCGAGCAGTATCACTGAAGCAGAGGCGATGCTGAAGGAACTAAACGAAGTAGGGAAGAAGGTCGGACTGCGAATAAATCGGAAGAAGACTCAGTTCATGAAGAACGCCCTTTGCGAAGATGCGGAAATGGAATTGGAAGGCACACCGATTATGGAGACGTCTTCCTACGTGTATCTCGGACGTTCGATGAACATGGAGAACGACTTGAGGGAAGAACTTAACAGGAGAAGAAGAGCAGCCTGGGCCGCCTTCGGGCCTCTGAAGGAAGCCACCGACCAACTGACGGACCCGGAGCTTCGTGCCCACCTGTTCGACTCAACCGTTCTCCCGGCGCTCTGTTACGCAGCTGAGACTTGGGCCGACACTGTAGCCACGTCGAAAGCTTTACGGGACACCCACAGAGCGCTCGAGCGCAGTCTTCTGAAAATGACCCGACGCAAGCAACATCTAGTCGGACTTCGCAGCACGGATATGAGAAGAATGTCCCGTCTTCGTGACCCGGCGGAATACGTCGCGAAAGCCAAACACCGATGGGCCGGTCACATAATGAGAAGAACAGACGACAGATGGACACTAAGAACATCGGAGTGGATTCCTCGCGAAGCCAAACGTCCTCGAGGAAGACCACCGACGAGATGGGCAGACGTGTTCGTGGAACGGATGGACCAGCTGAGAAATCAGCTGGATACGACTTTCGCCCATGGAACTTGTGGACGCAGCCACCGACGACGGCCAAGAAGATCGTGGATGTCTGAAGCGAGGGACAGGGAAAACTGGCGACTTCTGTACTGGGGCCCGCACGTCACGTGAGGACGGGCCATCTAAGTATCTAAGTATCTAAGTAAGTTAGTGCATTTTGGTGCCGAGAAACTTTGCCAGCTTTTCATACTTTAGAAACTGCAAAGGTAGCTAAGGAGTGATTTCAGAGCAGTTGCTGTGTGAATACAAAATGGCCGGAGGATTTTTCGATGGGGCAAACCAAAATCTATATGTTAGCACTACTAAGCTTTGTAAAATGCAATTTTTATGCGAGATGCTAGCGCGCGATTGTGTTTTCCAGCTTTCGGGCTGTATTTTTTCTCAAACAGCCATTAAAAAATACGGCGCATGCAGGTTGTATATGTTTGGGTGCGTATATTACTTGTGACTATAGAGGAGGTTTGTATGATTTTTTTGGCTCACTAGGGAGGTCGATTAGCCAAAGTGTCCCCTTCAAATGAGTCTTATACCACTTTAAAGAGCATCAACGCTGATTCCAAATCTGATTTCATTATCTGCCAAGCGCCTCTGTATGCCGAGTTATGTATATTTTTGGTGCGAAAAATGAATGCATGGTAAAATCAAGTTTTGCGGTCTCTTCAGCGCTCAAATAGAGCAGTATCATATACTAGCTGGCTTACCCGGCTCCGCCGTATGTTCCGAATAGAAAATTCCATTTCTTAACCGATCGCGACCAAACTTGGCACACATACACTTCGGGCCCCGGCGGGTGCCACAGTCCACTTTTCGTTATCGACCGATGTCGATTTTATCGATTCAAATTTTGCAAAAAAT